AAATACTTTATGAAGCTTATTAAGGAAAGTAAAGAAGTTGATGAGGAAAAGAAATCACTAAAACAATTAGAAGAAAAATTAAAAATACTTAAAAAAGAAATTGGAGAGAATTTTGCAACCTGGAGATCAGTTTTATACAGAGAAAGAATGATCTATGAAACTTTAAACAAAATTAATAAGTCTACCGATGAAACCTACACGGATATAAATGACATGATAAATGAATCATTTACAGGTGAGTGTTGGGTAAGAAAAAAAGATTTTGATCAGTTAAATAACTTGATTAGTTCCAATAAAGATTTAAAGTTTTATTATGAAGAAATTAAGCTTAAACCGAATGAAGTTTATCCAACAGCATTTACTAACAATGAATTTATGGAATCTTTTCAAAACTTAACAAATGTTTTTGGTGTTCCTAAATATAAAGAAATTAATCCTGCTGTTTTTATGGTTTTTACATTTCCGTTTATGTTTGGATCAATGTTTGGTGATATTTTTCACGGTTTGATACTTTTATTTGTTTCCTTATTTATGATTAAAAACTTTGATAAATTAAATAATAATTGTGGTGTTCTACAAATTCTATTAGAAGGTAGATTTATTATACTTTTATGTTCTTTTGGTGCAATATGGTTCGGGTTGTTATATACAGACTTTGCTTCATTATCTTTTAATTTATTTAATTCTACTACTTCAAACTACCCTATAGGAATTAATCCTATTTGGCATCATTCAGCTAATTCAATGGCTTTTACTAACAATTTAAAAATGAAACTTAGTCTTATTATTGGATTCATTCATATGGAACTTGGTTGTTTAATTTCAATTGCTAATTCCATTTTAAGTAACAACAGAATTGATTTATTTTGCACTGTAATTCCTCAGGTTTTAGCATTTACTTTATTTCTTGGTTATTTGGTATTTTTGTGTATTTATAAATGGTTAGTTACTGTGAATCATCCAAGCTTAGTAGGTGTTTTAATTGGAATGTACACAGAACCTTTTACTATTACAGATCAGATGTATCCTGGTCAATTATATGTACAATTATTCATAGTTTCTATTATAATTGCTTCTATTCCTTGGATGTTATTTAGCAAACCTATTTACATTCTATTAAAAGGTAGATCTAATTCTGATCAAATGTTAGATACTTGGATTAATTCTGGAATTCACACTATAGAATTTTCATTAGGTTTAATATCAAATACTTCATCTTACTTAAGA